AGGGATGATTTTAATATATGTAAAACCATAAATGTCGCTAATAAAGTGGTTCAATATATTTTTTAAAAGCTGGTAGTTTTCCTATATGCATTAGTATATAATTTAAAACTTGGAAAACTAAGTAATATTCAGTTAAGCAAAGTTACATTATGTGTCTGTGTGATTTGCATGTGTGTGGGTGCCTGTGAGTGCGCAAGTGTATGTGTATGTGCACACGAATGTACACGGATGGGTGTATACAAATATGTGTGTGTATATGTGTCTGTGTATCTGTACACGTGTGTGTGTGTGTGTAGTTCATGAATGCCCGGGATTGCAGAGTTTAGAAAATCATGTGGGGTGAGCAAAAACTGGAGTTACAGATGGTCATGAACCACCATGGAGGTGCTCAAAACTGAGCCTATATCTTCTGCAAGAGTAAAAGGTCATTTTCGCCACTGTTCCATCTCTCAAGCACCATGTATCATTGTTTTAAACAAAAATCTCCAGAGAAACAAAATCAATGAGGTAGATATAAAGTTATTCATCCATGTATGTATGTATCCAAATACATATATGTATCTCTTTATATATATTCTTCCCTCCACTTTTCTTTCCTGCACTTACCCCCAATTTACCCAGGAGATCTCTTCTATGTACTCTTCCAGAGAAATTCATGCATCCATCTTTGGGCCCTCCTTGTTATGTAGCCACTCTGGGTCTATGGATGTATATGAAGAACTATTTAAACATACACATCTAAGTCTTACATGGTATATGACTCTATTTGTATATAGATACATGGACATATATGTATGTATTAAGAATCAGCTCCTTGATCTTTGGAGCTGGGGCAGCTCAGAAACCTGCAGCCTGGAGGTCAGGAGAGCTGATGGTATTAGTTTCACATCTTGACGGTAACAGAACTCAGGGATTATCAAGCAGAGGGAAGAGCTCCCTTTGGGTCCATCCTTTTGTTCTGTTTAGACTTCTAATGACTTGGATGAGTCCCTACCATATTGAAACGTGCCTCTGTGTTACAGAGCCCATTAATTCAAATTCAGTCTCATTTCTAAACAGCATCCTAGACACACTGAGAATGTTTGATAAAGAACCTTTACGCCTCTGATCATACCCAACTGTTGAATAACATGGAATATTGTGGTTTCCTTTCTAAATGAATGTGTCATAACTGGGAGTGATATTTAGAAGAAAGATGAAGGTAATCTATAGAAGTGCAGCCTCTTGAGCTGGACCTCTTTGTGTCTAAGCTGACTCTGGCTTTATTTGAAAGTGACTTCTCTATATTATCTGTTGCTTCTCTGTATACATCATCTAATATGATGGTAACTTAATAGGATTCTCATGATTAAATTACTTGATTAAGGTCTTGAAACAGTATGCCACACTTGATAAATTTAAATTATTTTTATTACTTGTATTCTAAACTGAGTGCTCTAGTTTGGATGTAGAATGACCCCCATGCAACATACAAAAAAGGTGATACTGGGAGGTGATGTGTGTGAAAGGGGCGATACTCAGAGGTACTGCTGCCCTCTTAGAAGAAGAGTCTTATGGGAGGTCCTTGGGTCCCTGGAGGCATATCCCTAGGTAATTGCAACAACTCAGCTCTTCCCTCTGCCTCCTTAGCACCTGGTTGCCAGGCAATTTTGCTGTCTCTCCACATGTTCCCATTGTGACATAATGATTCACAGAACCAAAGCAATGGAACTCCGTCCACTGTGCCTGAAACCTACAGAAGCATGAGGCAGTCTTCCATTTCTTTTTTATAGATTAATCCTCTAGATACTTTGTGATAGCAATGGAAAGCTGATTAGTACACTAGGGAATGAGAATGTTTCCCCCAAACATATTTTGTAGGAGTGGCAGGAAGCAGTATAGTTATTTGTCTCCAGGAAAATGTACAAATAAGTGTTGGAGCAGGGACGAAGGTTAAAGAACACAAGAAAGCTGAAGCCTAACAGGAAGTGCATGAAAGGCACCTGTAACAATCTGTGTCCCTGCCACATTCCTTGAAAGGCTTTACAACACTGGGACCATATTGTATAACTGTGGCCAGAAATTTACCCTGAGACTGCTGTGTTGTGGTGCTTATGTATATTGTAGGGAGGCATAAAATCATATTTACTTGCAAAACTAATTTGCACTAATAAGGGAAATTGATTTAAATTACTGAACTATTTAAACTACAGAACAGTTTCACCTGCATTTAAGCTTATTTAACTTATATTCACGTACTCAAAAATGATGAATTGTGGCCATTGGCATCCAGCTCTAGACTGTCTAAGTAACATTTTATTTTCTGCATGTAGTGTGATCCTTATATTTAGGTCTTATTAAGTTATGTACAGAAATGTTGTTTGTCTTCTTAAACATATTTTTAAATTTTCCTAAAATAGTTCCCACATAGTTAATATTCAAAGTGGGTTTTAGTATCCAAATGTAATGCAACTAAGATGTGTCTTAATTGCTACAAATCCTGGCCAGCCTTGAGTTAATACAATGAAAATCTACTGGTGTAGCCCTCTATTTTATGTCCTAACATGTCAACTTGACATACAAACATATCACTTATCAAGTCAAAGCCTTCTCTCCTTTATTTCTGTTCCAGATCATATATTATGAGTACAATTTAAAGCTATTACAAATTCTAAAAGTCATATAGTCTTTAAAAATTCACACTTTAAAAGTTCAGTCTCCTTAAGACATCTATACACTCTCTAATATATCTCAACTATGGGGATTGGCAAGATAAAACATAAATACAATACTTTCTTATTTCAAGATGGACGAACTGGCGCACAGTCACAATCAAATCAAAACCAAGCTCCTACCATGTAAATAACCCAGTAGCCAATGTCGGGGATTCATTCACCTTCTTCTGGGTTCCTCCAGAGGGCCTGGATCATTTCTCTGGCTCCCCTCTCTACAACCCACACAGACCGTCTCCCAAGCTCAGGACTGCTTAAGTTCAGTACTGTTGCTGTTCTTGACAGCTGTTTTCTCATGTTGCCAGCATTTCTAAAATGCTGGGGCCCCTGTTGAAGCTGGGTTGCACTTTGACCAATAACCTGTCCTAAACAAATTCATGAAATCATAATTTGATTTCTTTTTATTTTATTAATTGCGTTTATTTAAAAATTATTAACTGGTTACAGTGCGATATTTTGATGCATCCTTTAAGGTAGTTTACACAGACCCATATCTGCAAACTTTTGTAACTTTTATGGTGAAAAATCCCACATCCTTTCTTCTAGCTTTTTAAAACACTCTTTGCTGCTCTCTGCAGTCAGCCTACTATGCACTGGCACCCAAGATCTATAGTTCTTGCTGCTTCTAACTTACTACTCAGTTCCAAGTGGTCAGTCTTTCCCCATCCCCGAATCTCTGGTAGCTCCTTAGTTCTGGAAACTGCCATTCTCCTCTCAGTGAGATACATGTGGAAGTGTAAATTGTGGTCATGGGGCTCTTGTCTCTACGTGCTCGGTTTGCTTTGTTTATTGTTGTGTCCTCATGCTCCATCTACATTTTCTTGAGTCAAAGTGATTCCATGCATTTTAGTGGATGACTAATAGGCAAAGAATGTGCATCTATCACATTTCTTTACCCACTCTTCATTTCATAGATTCTTTGCTGTTTCTGTGAAATGCAAGCTTTGATCCAACCTTTGGTCAAACAGGAAATAACTCTGAAAAACTAAATAAAATTAATATTTAAATTTCTGTGATGGATTCTCTTACTGTATCACATTTTCAATATGTTTTATAATTCTGAAGTTGAGAAAGTTGTAATAATCTAATACAATACTATGATGTTGTGATACAATTAGGTATTATTTACTAATTAATATGATGCTATGATGTTTGCCTAATTACTAAGTCATAAAATTCCCTTCTTCAGATTTTCAGGTTCCTATGTATGCAACTTATCATAAAGAAGGACTCCCATGAGGTGCTTGAGAGTTTCATCATAAAACTCAGTAAGAGGAGAAATACAAGTAAAACCATTTGAAATTGATAGTGCAGTGAAGATAGTCTTGAAAAAGAAGTTCCTTAATAAAGAAAATATATCATTCAATTTTGATAGACAATTCACAAGAACATTCAATTTCATCAAAGTGTTTAGAAAAAAGATTTTGTTTCTAGAATTCTTTACTAAAATATCCTCTCTGAAAGCAAAAAAACCACTTAGAATTTCTAAAAACTATGTTGTTTATAAGATCAAAATACTGAGAAAAAATCCAACGGAATTTCAGGACAGTAAATGCACACAGATGTGAAATGCCTTCACTACACAGAGTCACTTCATCTCTAGAAGATTAGTCCTCTGCAGACTGTGAGCTGGCATGTGTCACAACCAGTGGCTGGCTGTACCTAAAGAGGCAGTTGGTGAGAATTTTGATATTCTAGCTCCCCTAGGATACATAAGGCTTTTTTATAAAATAGAAATTTGAAGGTAATTTATTTTGTCTTTACTCTTTACTCAAATTTTTCTTTCGGTGATACATTTAATGAAGTAGGATTACATGTCATTTTCTGTTAGTTTAATCACACTGTGTGTATATCTTTACCAACAGTAATTTAAAAAGATAATATTGACATAAGCAATACCTGAAAATTTGAATTAAGACTAGTAAGAGGGAAAAGACATAGCTAGCTACTTCCTATTTTAATCATTTTCTTATTTTTGCAATATTTTACAATGACCATTTAATTTATTTAAAAATTAAGGAAAACAAATTTTAAATACATTATGTGATGCTCACAATATTGGAAAAGAATGCAATAGATCTCTTGTAGGCTTGGTAAAGTATTTTAATTCATGATGGAGTGAAATAAATATATGGCACAGGATTCTCTTGTTTTTGTAACTGTGCATCTGTGTATTGGGAAGCATGGAGTCTTTGTAGATGTTTACATGTGTATCTGTGTTGTTAGGCAAATGAAAGCCAGAGGTGGATGTCTAGTGTTTTTCTCCATTGTTCTCCACTTTATTTTTAGAGAAAAACATCTGTCATTGAACCTGGGATTCACAAATTTGGATGCATTGCCCAGCCAAGGTCTCCTGGGGTAAGTCATCCAGGTGACTGAAGAAAGCCACCAAGCATGATGTGGTGTGTGTGTGTGTGTGTGTGTGTGTGTGTGTGTGTGTGTGTGTGTGTGTGTGTGTGTGTGATCACATGGGCAAAGATGTTGTGAGGATATACACAAATTGCTGAGAATAGTTTTGGCTGTGGGCAGTGTGACTGTGAAAAACGCAGATTCCCATAGGGATAAGCATATTTCTATAAGCATTTGGAGTCTTTTAAAGGTTCATGTGTTAAATCTATGATGCTGATGAGACAGAACTTTGAAATAGAAATGAATTATAAGAGATGTACTCGACTGGAGGGAAATGACTGGTGAAAATCACACGCTAGGAAGGGACCTGGTTCTCTTAACTGTAATGGAGGGAGGGAAGTGGCAGAAGCCCAAATGAGAGTGGGAAAGCTGGCAGAGGATCAGATTTTTAAGTTCAGAATCCCAGTCTCATGCTTGTTTTAGCTTTCCGTACAGTAAAAATCACTGCTCCCAGAGAAGAGACAGATTCATATTTACCCCCCATGCTTCACCAAATGCTTAATCTGTACTACTGCTTTGCTCAGCTTGCTTTGATCTTTGGAGAAATAGAGAAGCCCACAATGTACATAAATTAGTTCCAGACTTCCCTCCCAGGGAATTTTGGTTCTGTGTTAGGAATGAGATTCCCTAAAAGCACAGAGCCAAAGAAGATGGTCATGCTATGATGTTTGTTTCCATGGGGACTAGAGTGCCCCACCTCATGATCCCTTTGCTCCCCTCCCCTGACAAGCATGCTTAATAACGAATTTCCCTCTAGATACTTTTTTTCTTAAAGAGATTTTCCTTCTCAGTAAGGAGTATGGGCACTGTCCATCTTTTCTCCAGAGTAATGGTGTTACTCTGGAGAAATTGGATGGTTACCCCATCCAATTAAACAGGGAGGACTAGATACAGGTTCCTTTAGTATTCTGTGATTGTTGACGAGCCAGCTTGGGACAGGATGGGGAGATGTTATGAGCAATCAGCTTCATAATCATTAAACAGCCCAAGGAGGAGTCAGGTGAGGCAGCCCTTTGGTATACCATTCAGAGATGGCAACATCATGGTCAAGAAGCAGACAAGTAATTAGGCATTTTCTAAGGACAGACAAAAGGCTTCTAATGCTGCTTTTAAAGAATGTAGTTTCTCAAGACTCAAGGAAAATTCAATATATATTCACAGGTGATGAGGATGAGGGAAGCAAGGATTTAATCACATCCACTAGAATGTCTGGGGGGGCAGGAAGGTGAGAAGGTAGACAAAACTCATGCAAGTCTGGGGGGCAGGGGCCAAGGTAACTCCCTTTTGTAGGTGAGGGGAATTGATGCAGCTTCTTATTTTAAGTCATCATTTTCCATGGTACTTATGAGAGTTTTAATGAGAACATTTACTGAGCATTGAGTCAGAGTTTCAGTTTTCCAGACTTAGCATGTATGGAAAACTGTGTGAGCTGGCCCTCTGTACTCACAGGCTCTGCACTGGTTGATTTATCCAACTGTATATAAAACTTATTTAGAAAAATAAGGTGACCTTACTACACACGTAGAATTTTATTCTAAAATAATTCTCTAAATCCAGTACGACTGTATATCATTTACATTGTATTTCCATTAAAAGTAATCTATAAGTGACTTAAAATAAGTGGAGAAATGTGTTTTTGGGTTATAGACAAACACTATGCCATTTCTTTTAAAATAAAGAGACTTGAGGATTTGTGGTTTGCGATATCTATAGGGATCTGTGGAATCAAATCAGCTGAGAAGATTAAAGAACTACTCTGTGTGTGTGTGCATAAGTGTATGCACACACATTTCAAAATTTACTACTGTGTGCCTCAACTCCTTTGCTGTTTTATGCAGTGAGCAGACACTCTTTCACTGGATTTCTGATCTGGACTTTACCTCTAACATCATAAGCAGCCTTTGATAGTAGGAGAGGAGGCTTGTGTGAAATATTTCAAGGCAATATTAAAATCTAATAGGAGGGCCACTTTAGGCACACTCAACTTCTTATAAATGTTCTTCCCATTTGTACACTTTGGGATATAAAGGGGGTTGGAGTACTGCTATGCAGGTGTCATTGAAGAAACTGCTTCCAATTTCTGTCATCATAATGGCATGGAGATAGAAAATGTCTTCCAGAATTTCAGTCTGGGAAATCCATTCCACTATTCACTGCTGTATGGACTGATCAACCACTCATATGTGCTGACATCTAAATTCATTGAGCATGCTCACATGTTCATGACACATAAAATGAAATATACAACCCAGAGTCCATAGTCTATTCTTGTCTTATGGGGCAAAAGGTTCTTTGTCCACACCAGAACATAATAGGATAAACTCTTTCTCTTCAGTTTCCAATAGCACTTGGGTGTTTTTTAGACTACACACTTGTTTCCCTTTGCTGTTTGCTGTGATAAAGACCTTGATCAAAGCTGACTTGAAGAGGAAAGACTTTTTGTCTTATAATTCCAAATCACAGTTCAACATTGAAGGGAGTCGGGGCAGGAACTCAAGCAAGAACCTAGAGGCAGTCACTGAAGCAGAGGCAATGGAAACACATTGCCTATTGGTTAGCTCAACTTGTTTTTTTATGAACCCCATGATACCTGGTGGAGCAAGAACTTCTATATCACTCTTCAATCAAGAACATGCTTTTATCAGATTCCTTCCTCTTTTCTTCACCTCATTCCTCCCCCATCTCATCCCTCTAATAGCATAAAAACCATTCTTCCAAGTATAGTCATACAAAATCAGGCAACATATGAAATTTGGTTCATGGGCTGTGTCCCAGCAGAGGATGGTGCACAAACAGACACATTAGCTTCACCTCAGACCTTAGAGATGGGAAATACCAGCTCCTACTTCAGTGCTTATGACTACCAAGTGTCTTATGACTCTCATCATTTTTCACCAGTAAAGAAAAGATTGGAGGATCCTCTAACCTTTAACCTTGCCTTGTTTCTGGAATGCATCTTTTACAGTCCACATCAGGTGCACTAGGATGTTCTGCTTCTATACATGAATCACCCTCTATGTAGTCTCTTATTCTCCATCAGCCTATCTTCAACCTAATACACAATAACTATAAAATTACAAAAGAGGCAATGGCCCAAACATGTCATAATTAGACAAGACCTTCAACCTCTTCTATGGGTCACAGCAAGTCACAGAACTTTAAAAATTGAAGTAGATGACATAAAGAGTTTATTCCTCATAAGAAGGACTTCAACATCACTCTGAAAAGGACACAGATACACAGAGAATTAAAGAATGGTGGTGGGATTTGCAGTCTGCCACACCTGTGAAGTCAGACTCTGTGAATATTAAAAAGATCCACAGATGATGCACAGGTACATTAAAGCTGAACGACCTCGAATATTGCCACAGCCACCTGCAGATGTCTATCCACATTTCTTTTCTCTCGAGGTAGCTCCATATCCATGATCTAAATAGGCAGTAGTCAGATGGTGTTTAGAACAGGAACTGCCTAAATACGACACAGCCACCAGGAGAAGGGGTTTAACCCGTGAGGGGCAGAACATCAGCCACGGCCACAGCCCTGTGTAGCCTAATTTCCCAGACATGAATGCTTGAAAGACTCTCTTAGCTTCACACATAACTGGCATCCCGACGAAAACTGTTCTTCGTAACCTTCAGTGAATGGATGATGGAGATGTTTCCATTAGCGAACTGGCATTTACCATATAGTTACATAAGGACAGAATTCAGTGTATAGGCAATCTGGATCCCATAAGCATGAAGAGGCATGCCCTCTGAGACTACCGTTGTAGAAGGATAGCAAAGGAGAACTTGTTGTAAGTGTGGTGGAGAAGCTTCTACTTCAGACAAAGTTAATATGGGTTCATAGGACCAAGAGGAAATGTTCATTGTTCACGTGTTCCCTGATTATTCTAAGTGTAACACCAATGAGCTATTGACTGGCTGATTTTGACCCACAGGCAGCTCTGCCACTTCTTTCTTATGCATGACTTTGGACAAATTAATGAACCTTTGTGTTCATCTAACATTTTTAAGTTACGATATGAGGATGACAAAAGTCACCAATGTCAGTTTCAATGGAAATATCAATGTTTTAAAATGCTTTAGTATGTGCAAATAACCAAGCATTTATATTTATACTACCACTATGGTTACAGTTAATATCATTACTGCTATCATTTCTTGATGCAAGAGAAGAAACTCTATGCCCAGAAGATGCACCCTTAGAATTATAAATAATTTTACTTTTATTTTCATTTTGTGTTTGTATGTGTATATGTGTTCATGTAGGGCCACACATGTGTATATGCATCTGTGTGTGTGTTTCTGTACATATATATGAATGAGAGTGTGCTTGCATTAGGGTTTGCACACATGTGGGGCCAGAGGATAATATAGTTTTATTCCACAGATATAAGAACAGGTTTGAGGCTCATCCATAAGACCAGTCTTTCTGAGCAGTGAGCACCAGAAATCCTCCTGTGTCCACCTCACCAGTAATATGATTACAAGCAGACTCCACCATGCCCCATTCATTTTATTTTCTTAATGTGGTACTGAAGACCAAACTGAGGGCTTCATGCTCACAAAGCAAGCACTGTATAGATGGAGTCATATTCACAGTTCCTGATTTTCATTTTAAATTTCTTTCTTTTCCCTGGTTGCCACATACCTACACTTGGTATATTAATCAAGTTTTTGAGATAGACAAGATTCTAGATGGATGGATGGATGGATGGATGGATGGATGGATGGATTGATGGATAGGAGAAGTGCTAATTTTTCAGGGTTCAAAGAAATTGCCCATTCTTCATAGTGAGTAAGAATTCTACGTTTTATACTTATAGTTATGCTGCTTGCAGATATAACAACTCCAGATGCTAGTACTCTGCATCCCATAGCAATACACTAGAAACAGAATTCCCATGATTATTCTAATCAGTGCTTTTCTCTCTTGGTCTTTAC